AAATGGAAAGGCATCATGTTCATGGATTGGAAGACCTAACACTATTTAGATGTTCGTACCACCGAAAGGGATCTACAGATTCAGTGAGATCCCTATGAAAATTCCAACAACCACTTTTTGCAGAAAATGGAAAAACAGATTCTCCAATTCATATAGGAATTGCAAGGGGCCTCAAATAGCCAAAATAATATTGGAGAAGAAGCAGAAAGCTGGAGGACTCAACGTTCTGACTTTGAAACTTACTACAAAGGTAAACAAAGTAGTGTGGTACTGGCATAAGGACAGACACATAGACCAATGCCACAGAACAGAGAATCCAGAAATAAACCCACACATGTATAATCAATTGATTTTTGACAAGAGTAAAAGGGGAAAGGGCAATCCTTTCACCAGTGCTGGGAAAACTGGGTAGCCACATGTAAATAACAAAGTTCGGCCCTTAACTTATACTACATATAAACTTATGCCATATATTAAAATTACCACATATAGAAATAGATAAAAGACCTAAACTTAAGAGCTAACACTATAACGGTCTTAGAAAAAACACGGGCAAAATCTTCATGACACTGGATTTGGTAACAATTTCATGGATAGGACACCAAAAATACAGCCAACAAAAGAAAAAATGAATATATTGGATTTATCAAAGGTAAAAACTTTTGTGCCTCCAAGGACACTATAAGGAAAGTAAAAAGTCAACTTACAGAATAGAAGAAAACATTTGCAAATTATGTATTTGACAAGGGATTGATATCCAGAACATATAAAGATCCCCTACAATTCAATAACAACAAGAAAACAAACAACAACAAAAACACGATTGAAAAATGGGCAAAGAATCTAAACAGACATTTCTCCAAAGAAGATATCTGAAAGGCCAACTGGTATATGGAAAGATGGTCAACATCACTAGTCACTAAGAAAATGCAAGTTAAAACCACAATGAGATATCACTTCATACATGTGTTAGAATGGCCATTGCCAAAAAGACAAGGGGTTAACAAATGCTGGTGTGGATGTGGAGAAAGGGGAACCCGTAGGCACTGTGGATGGGAGTGTAAATTGTGGCAGCCATTATGGAAAATAGTATGGAGGAACATCAAAAAATTAAAAATAGAATTGCCATATGATCCACTTCTGGGAATATATCCAAAGGAAATGAAAACACCAATTTGGAAAGATATCTGCACCCTCATGTTCATTGCAGCATCATTTACAATAGCCAAGACATAGAAACAACCTGAGTGTCTGTCGACGGATGAATGGATAAAGAAGTTGTGGTATCTGTAAATACAGAATGGAATATCATTCATCCGTAAAAAAAACAAGGACATCCCACCACTTGCTACAACACGGATGAACCTCAAAGGCACTATGTTAAGTGAAATAAGTCAGATAGAGAAAGACAAATAGTGTGTGATTTCAACTTATCTGAAGAATCTAAAAACACAAAAACAAAACCACAAAAAAGCAAAACCCAGAAAGAGAGCAGATTTGTGGTCATCAGAAGCAGAGGGTAGGGGGGCGGGGGAGAGGGAACTGGAGAAGGTGGTCAAAAGATACACACTTGCAGTTTTAAGATAAACCTGTCCCAGGTACAATGCGATGACTAGAGCTAACACTCCCACGTGATATACAGGAGATGTGCTGAGAGAGGAGGTTCTAGGAGTTCTTGTCACAGGAACATTTTTATCCCTTTTTTTCCCCTTCTTTTCTATTTATTGTATTTTTATGAGAAGATGGATGTTAGCTAAACCTACTGTGATAATCATTGCACAACATATGTAAATCAAACCATCACGGTGTCATGGCTTAAACATATATTCATGTATGTCAATTATTTCTCAATAAAACTGTTGGGGGGGGGACAGCAAAAAGGGGGTCGGGGAAACAAGATACCACTCCATACCCTATAGGATAACTATTTAAAAAAAGGAGGGGGGGATGACGAGTGTTGGCAAGATGTGGAAAAATGGAAACCCTCACGCACTGTTGGTAGGAATGTTTAATGGTGCAGCCACTGTGGAAAACAGTTTGGTGGCGCCTCAAAAAAAAGTTAAACACAGAACTACCACATGACCCAGCAATTCCGCTCCTAGGCATAGACCCAAAGGAAGGGAAAAAGCAGGGACTTGAATAGCTATTTATACACCAATTTCAGACAGCATTATTCACAATAACCAAAAGGAAACAAGCCAAGCGTTTATCCATACACGAATGGACAAACCTTATTTTGTTTGTAGAATACTATTTGTATTCTTTGTAGAATACTATGCACTAGGAAGGAGTGACATTCTGATACCGGCTACAAGGATGGGCCCCAAAAGCATTACGCTAAGGGAAATAAGCCAGACACAGAAAGCCAAATACAGGATTCCACTTCTGTAAGGCACCTAGGATAAGCAAAGTCAAAGAAACAGAAAGCAGAATAAAGGCTGCTCGGGGTGGAGGGCGGAGAGGGGTAGGAGGAAAGGAGCAGTTCTTGTTTAACGGGTACAGAGTTTATGCCGGGGATTCTGAAAAAGTTTTCGGCATAGACAGTGCTGATGGGCACACAGCTCTGTGAATGTATTTAACGCCAGTGAATCTGTATATTTGCAAATGGGTAAAATAATAAATATTATGTTATGCAGATTTTACTATAATCTACGTAATGTGGAGAAAAAAGAGGGGTCAATATAAATACACAGTGAAAAGATAGGAATGAAATAAACCCAAATGTCAGCAGCTATTCTGAGAAAAGACATCTTTGGGTGGCTTCCTCTTTCTTTTAATCATTTTTCTCTATTTTCCAACGTTCTTTCAATTGCTCTTTGGATGGGAAAAAAAATTGTGTTTTTAACAGGTTTCATGTTTTCAGGTTTTGATAGTACATAATTCATCAGTCTAGATTTTTTCTTTTTTAGGTAGAAAGTTTCTTTGCTTTTGGAGCAGCATTTACAAAGGATTTACTTCATAAGGGACCATAAGTAAAGGAAATGGTCATTTAAAATAATCTGAAGTTCTCTGCTGCACGTAGGTGAAAGCTAATGTTCTCTTACAACTCGGCTGGCCCCAAGGCTCTTGAACCTGCTGGCTACAGCCTGGCAGGGGGGCAAATCCTTTCCAGTAGGAGTTGTTCTCCCTGCCCTCTGGGGACTGAATGAGGACAGAAGAGGTTTCAGGGGGATAATTTCCCCTGGATGTGTGACTAAGTTCATAATTTGACCTTTAAGCAATAAATTAAAATAGGAATAGTAATTTAAAATGCAAGTCAGAATTTGCCTTAAATTTAACCAATCGAAATAGTTAATATTAATTCACCCTTAATAGTATCCCAATCCCTTTGCAGAAGGTCCCGTTTATACAGCAAATGATACTGACATTGTATTGGGTTTTTATGCAGGAGTCCAAAGGACCTGTTCTCCCCTTTCTGACAAGTAAATAAAACGGCAGGGAGATCAAATAACTCACTAAAAAGAAGATATAATTTTTTATCTTCCTTTTTACAGTCTCATATCCACTTCCGTTGGGAATAACAAAGTCTGAATTCTTATGCAACACTTATCTAAATGTGTCGATTTTATCGGATTGATGAATTTTGCTAACAAAAGGCAGCGCTAGGAAATCTTTTATGACATATTTGGCCCATTCACAGGCCTGGAGCTTTAATTTAACCAACTTGAGAATTCTGAGGGAGAGCTGCAGGTGTTAGATCTGAAAAAAAAATCATAAATGGGAAGGCATATCAATCTTTATGACGGGGAAACAAAAACACTCTCTACTTGCTTGCCCTCCACAGGCAGGAGAAGGAGAGGTGGAAGGAGCAGGATATTGTCTCGGGCTGCATAGCAAAGAGGAAGCTTCGCTGTCTCCCAGTGACCGCTATTTAGTATTGATCAAAAGGCGCTGGCCCGCAGAGGAAGAGAGGAATTGATAAAACAATGAGGTTTGCCAACACTCTGTGCTCAACAAGGACATTTTCTCATTTTCTTGACCACATCAGAGTAAGTCACTCCTGCGGCCGCCTGAACGAGCCGGTGGCTCTCTGTCCCACAGTCCTCACTCCCTCCCACTCCCCCGCAACAGTGCCCAGAAGCACTGCTACCTTGCCACCCCCATGGACCATAAGCAGAGTCAATCACTCAACAAGGCCTGTTCCTTCTCCTGTTAAAGGTCTCCCCAGTCAGCCTCTCCTCCCTCCACAGCCTGAACGCAGACCACACTTCTCTCCCTGGGAACACCACCATACTGCCTCTCCCTGTCTGTTCTCCACCGCCCCCCCCCCCGGATCCTCATCACCAAGCCATCCTTCCACCTGCCGCCAGCCATCTCTGGATGGGAGAACCTTTCAGCCACTTCCTTGCACAAACTCCTTAAGGACTCCCTATTTTCTACAACACGAAATCATAAACCCGTTGCCATGAAATACTACGAAGGTCCTTTGTGATTTGCCTTTCCCAGTTTCCAATGTCCCCCTTTCGATAACCTAGCTGTAGCTAAGCAGATGGTGAGGGGATCCGTTTCCTGGCCTCTCTGACACCAAGGCATGGGTGACATAAGCAGATAGGACTGAGTCCTCCCTCACCCACAGAATCTGTGGGAAGGGTCTGTGCCTCTTCTAGGTCCGGGAATTCCTGACACTCTGGACCCTCCGGCAAACATGAACACGGTAGCGCCTGAGCCTGGCTATAGCCTGGCTACACCACCCCACCGTGGAAAGGCAGAAAGATGCAAGAAGCCTGGGTTTCTGAATGCTGTGCAGAGAAGAAACCCCCAACAGGTCACATTAGGAAATTACCTAGAAAATCAACTTCTAAATTTCCTTATGCTTCTGTATTTTTCGGTCTCTTGCAACAGCATCTTTGCCTTTGCCCTTGATGAGAGTAAGTGCCAGGCAAGATCCCACTCACTAGGACCCACAGCTGACACCTGTGTGCCCAATCTGTGTTAATGAGATGAAGTGAGCCCCAGAGCCAGCTTATACAAGCGGACGCTCCATTCAGTAACAAACCTACTTGGTGTTCTCCAGGGTCTTCTGCATTTTCTTGGTCATTTTATCAATCACTGCCTGTCTCTTCCCGTCAGCTAAGAGGTCTGTTTTGTTCAGCACCACGATCAGCTTCTGGCAGGCAATCTGCCCAATCACAAGGCACTCTGCTGACTGGGTCTGCATCCCTTTGGTCACATCGATGACCAGCATCATCAGATCAATGATCTGGGCCCCTGCAAGGAGAAAGAGAAGACAAGGTTAGAAAGGGAAATGGGGGAGAGGACTCTCCAGAAAGTGGCCTGATGTTTGAGGTTAAGCAAAATCAGCCAAATTAAAGTATTAAGACAAAAGTGGGTGGGGTGGGAAAGGAACGACCACCACAGAGCTCCTAGCCCCGGCTGCAGGGGAGGGACTCTCACCACCTGATTTCACGGAGTCCTCATGACAAACCACCATGAGTGATGGGCGTCTCACCTCATCTGGAGAGGAGGAAACTGAGGTCCATTAGACACAGACAGCTCACCCAGAGCCCCACAGCCAACATGCAGCAGGGCTATGGAACCCCCAAACCCACTCATTTTCATTCCATCCTACCAAGGAAAAAATGTCCAAGCAGGAAAAATCTCAGTTGTAGACTTGGCAAATGCCTAGAAATCTGCCTTGTCAAGACAGCAGATAGAAAGACCGGAAAACTCACGGGGAGGCATGGGGTTTGTCTCCTCTGTGGCTCCTGCGTCTTCCCCACACGGGAGTTGGGTTTAGTTGTGATCCTCCCACCCATGGCTCCGTTATAGCTACTCACTTCTTTTGTCCTTTCTGTTCTGGGTGGGAAGCTCCTACTCTTTCAGGGAGGGTAGGGGCAAGCCAAGGTTCAGCTACCTCAACAGTGAATACCATGTATGTGAGCGTGTATGTGTGTGTCTATACATATATGTGTGCGTGCATGTGTACGTGTGTGTGTATGTAGTGTGTGTGCATTCTACGTGACGTACGCATGCCTGGTTGTGAGTATCCCCTAAATACACAGCCACACCTGAGCTGAACAACAGCAGAGGGACAAGTTCCAGAGGAGTCCATGAAGGGAAACTGCCCTGACCCACGTTGGGTAGACTAATGAAGGGGATGTGTCCTTTTAAATAGGATGTGAAGTCGTTTTTACCAAAAAAAAAAGTGCTATTTTGGGTACATAGGAATATGCAGATATTTCTCCCCTTCACCCCAGAAGGGATTTTCAGGACCCAATTATCATCATGGTGATACCGAGGAAGCCTGCTCTATGGGTGACCCATGACCCAAGCTCACCCCTAGGAAAGGAGGGAAGGTGAGGAGAGGCAGTCTTTCCTGTTGGCACATTTAGCGTGTGTGCTCGTCAACCACCGAGTCTCCACAACCAGTGTTTCAGATGCAGGTGGGACTCAGAATCCCAGGGCGCCTTGCTCTAGACCAACGGGCACCAAAGGCCACCAGACACTAGGGAGCCTAGCTCCGCTAATAAAGCACTCTTTCCTGGTCACCTCTGACCTGTACTGTTCCTCCAGCATCTCTCAGGAGAAAGAACAGGTGTCTCGGCTCTAGGCAGGCCTCAGAGTGTCCCAGCTATCTTTCCCGCCCCTTGCTCTGCCCTCACCAGCCCCTTCTCTACCTCACCCTGTCCCAGGGACAGAGCGAAGCTGTGGTCAAAGGGGCCTGGCGGGGCAGGCCAGTGCTCACAGAAGCCAGCACTGGCATCTCCCTTAACCTACCAGGCAGTAGGGCCTAGACCTTGCTATAGAAACAAGGGGGGACAGGGGGATATACTGGTTCCATTACCTACACCTTTTCAACCACTGAGGCCTAAAAACCTCACCACCTGATAAGACCCCCATTCATATCTACCATCTCTGGGATCCATCTCTATTGTGGCCCCAAACCCCATAATGCACACATCAGGCCTGCACCAACCGCCCCCTAATGGGAAAAACTTATCCTTTCCCTGGGACTTGTCCCTGTGAAATCCAAACAGCCTCCCAGAAGGAACTTTCTACAACTATATGGCTGATTCATAACACTGAGCCAGGTTCAGTCAGTACCACCTCTACGAAAGTCAATTCGGAAAGAGCCATCAGAATTCACATGGTCTTTGACCCAGCCAACACCACATACATGTTCGTGCTTGTTGTAGGTAGAGCTGGGAAACAGGCAAATGTCCATCAGCAGGGGACGTGTTAAAAAAAAAAAAAAATACTGTTACCTCCATGCAGTAGAATACTATCCGGCCATGAAAAGGAATCGAGAAGCTCTTTGTTTACTACTACAGAACAGTCTCAAAGGGGAAGTGAGTGACAAGAACAAACAGTGGAACAATGTCATCTGTGTCAAAAGGTGGGGAAAGGTGTGTATGTGTGCTGTGAGTGATCGCTTCCATATGCATAAAACATGTCTGAAGGAATGCAAAAGAAACAACTAACTTTTGGTTGTCTGTTGGGAGAAGAGCTAGGTGTCAGAGATGGCATGGAGTTAGAAGGAGAGACCTGACTTCATGTTCTTCTGCACCTTTTTTTTTTTTCACGTTCGTCATTTATTTTTTTAATAATTTTTTATTTTTTATCAACATACCATGTATTATTAGCCCCAGGGGTACAGGTCTGTAAATCGCCAGATTAACACACTTCACAGCACTCACCATAGCACATACCTTCCCCCATGTCCATAACCCAACCACCCCCTCCCTACCCGCCTCCCTGCCGCAACCCTCAGTTTGTTCTGTGAGATTAAGAGTCTCTTATGGTTTGTCTCCCTCCCGATCTCATCTTGTTTCATTTTATCCTTCCCTACCCCAAAACCCCCACTTTGCCTCTCCACTTCCTCATATCAGGGAGATCATATGATAATTATCTTTCTCTGACTGACTTACTTCGCTCAGCATAATAACCTCTAGTTCCATCCACGGTCGTCGCAAATGGCAAGATTTCATTTCTTTTGATGGCTGCATAGTATTCCATTGTATATATATACACCACATCTTCTTTATCCATTCATCTGTTGATGGACATGCAGGTTCTTTCCATAGTTTGGCTATTGTGGACATTGCTGCTATAAACATTCGGGTGCATGTGCCCCTTCAGATCACTACATTTGTATCTTTAGGGTAAATACCCAGTAGTGTGATTGCTGAGTCACAGGGTAGCTCTATTTTCAACTTTTTGAGGAACCTCCATGCTGTTTTCCAGAGTGGTTGCACCAGCTTGCATTCCCACCAACAGTGTAGGAGGGCTCCCCTTTCTCCACATCCTCTCCAGCATCTGTCATTTCCTGAATTGTTAATTTTGGCCATTCTGACTGGCATGGGGTGGTATCTCATTGTGGTTTTCATTTGTACTTGTCTGATGTTGAGTGATATGGAGCACTTTTTCATGTTGTTCTGCACCTTTTTTTGAAGATCTTTTTATTTGAGAGCAAGAGTGTGCATGCACATGAGCGGGGGGAGGGGCAGAAGGACAGAGAGAGAATCTCAAGCAGACTCCCCAGAGAGCATGGAGCCTGACTCAGGATTCGATCTCACAACCCTGAGATCATGACCTGAGTTGATATCCAGAACCAGATGCTTAAATGACCAAGCCACCTAGGTACCCTCTTCCATACCTTTAATTTTTTTTTAAGTTTATTATTTATTTGAAAGAGAAAGAGACAGCAAGAGAGGGAACACAAGCAGGGAGGAGGGGTAGAGGGAGAAGCAGGCTTCCCACTGAGCGGGAAGCCCGATGTGGGACCTCAATCCCAGGACCCTGAGATCGTGACCTGAACCGAAGTCAGACACCCAACTGACTAAGCCACCCAGGAGCCCCATATACCTTTAAATTTTAAATAGAGGCATGTACAATCCACTCAGAAATAAACAAAATTATGTAAGTACACAACTAAAGAAAGAAATAAAACACTGATCTGTGCTTTTCCCCTGCTAAGAGCCCTCGCTGTCCTCTTACTGAAAGGGAACGCGTGGTGTGACTTTGGGCCCCCCTTCTAACTCGCAGTCCAGGTACACTCTCCCTGCACTGAGCACCATGGTGAACCTCATAGAGGCCTTCCTGGTGCTCCCTGCCCTGCCCCAGGGGCATATGCATACACATGTGAATATAAACACACAGAGGGGGAGAGAGAGAGAGAGCGCGCCTAGCCCACTCCAGAAGATGTGACCTTTCCTCACGTCCTCCCACCACAAGCAAATCTGTCACCAGTCACAAGGATGTGTGGCCAGGTGTTGAGGGAGGGTGGGACAAAGCATGCAGGTGAGTGGGAGAAGGAAAGCCCTGGGTTCCCAGCCTGTGAGCCATTCTCTAGGAAGACGGGAGAGCCACCTTCACACAAAACGGTCGCAGCACCCGACCAGCTGACCCCCAACTCTAGTGGGAAAAGCGGTGCCTACAAAGCCAAGGCTACTCTATCCCACGGATGACATAAGGACTTTTCAAGAATAATTCCAACTGCCTGGTCTCTCTCTAGAACCTAAATATCATTCCCTGCCTAACGCAGACTATCACCGACCCCACTATACAGACGAGGAGTTCGGTGACTGCCCTTGGTCACTTGGCAAGTAGGTGCTAGAGGAGCAATTTGAACACTGACACCTGTTCCCACCTATGTGCCACATGGCCTATCCTTGCGCATGGGGACCCAGCCCCTCTCCGGCCTCTTCTCCCACAGTCCTCACCTACTCCCTGCTTTATACTAAGCATCAAGGCACACCCCACGATTATTCTCACCCTTCCCTGCCCTGCTTTTGCTCCTGCTCCCCTACGCAGACTTCACCTGCCCCCGGCCCTTCCTCCCTGCTGGCACCAATGCTCCGAGCTTACAGACCGCAGCCTGGGCTGTCGGTCTGGATCTGCAGCACCCAGCACAAGACCCAGCTCAGGCACAGCCTGGGCAATCTTTGTTGGGCGGAACTGAGCGAATGATAGCTCCCCCCATGTCCCGACTCTGTTCTTTCTCAGAGATTCAGTTCCCTGTTGGTATATAACACTACCCAGGAATGCCTTTGTTGGGGCCCAGTGGCTGGAAAGGGAAGGACTCGTGAATTCCAGGCATTTAGCCAAGCTCACTGATGATGCCTGTTGGGCTCCTGGGGACAGAAATGAAACTGGCCTGACAGACCCAGGAAGACAAGTGCAGCCAGGCCCCAAACACTCAGGCTGGTCAGAATTTCCTCTGTGGCCTTACTCCAGCATCTACAAGCCGCCTTTGTTGCGAGAGGCAC